CCCAGGAGGATAACCTGCGGGTCATACTCCTGGGCGAGTCGGATGAGCTCCGACCTCCGGGACCCTATCCCGTCGGGGTTCCAGTAGATGATGCGCAGCTCCTGGCTAGCCATTGAGCTGCGCAATCATCCGGTAGAACCCCGCGAGCAAGGCCCCGAAGGGACTGGCTCCCGAGGCGATCTCTCGGATTACTCCGGAGATCACCTCGGACAGTTTCTCCCACAGGGAGAGGAGCCAGGCAGCGAAGCCGGCAGGCTGCGTGTCCTGTCGACCACTGCGCCGCTCTCTCTGCGGGCGGGGTGGTAGTGGGGGCTGTGGGTCGCCCAGAGTGATATTTACGTTCTGGGACGGGTCGATGTCTATTGTCTCCATGGGGCATGGAGGTTCAGTCGTTATCGGAGGTTCATTCGTTGGCGCAACTTGGCCTTCCCTAAGGGCAGCTGCTTCTTCCATTTCCTTTTTTTTCCTTTCTTTGGCCTTTATTTTTTTTCTTTTTATTTTTTTTTTGGGTTTTGGTTAGGGCAGGTTGCAAATTAAACACTGCCTTGTTGCTAACACGAGGGGCAGGTCGCGGCTTTGTAGCCTGTCGCTGTGGGTTCGCCTCTGCCATTAGGGTGGCCGCTGTTGGGCTGGCCTCCACAGTGGCAGGTTGTCTGTTAACCGGAGGGAGAGTAGGGGCTTGGGATGTCTTTCCCTTGCCCTTGCCCTTCCGAGATGGGAGTGGAGCGATACGTGGAGCGGGGGTAGGGGCTTGAACGGCACGCGTCGCTGGCGGTACGGGGGGAGGAATAGTGACCCCCATCATCCGTGCCCTCCTGCGGTAGACCACACACCGCTTGTCAACAGCGGCATGGCCCCTCCCGCAGTTGGCACAGGTGAAGGGTCCCTCCCTTGGCCTCGGGCAGTCCGCCACGATGTGCTCACCCGCACATCGTACGCAGCGGACCGCTCGGTGGCAGTTGCTGGAGGCGTGTCCGAAGGCCTGGCAGCGATGACACTGCGCAGGTCCTCGGCTCGAACGCCATCCCTCAACTGACACCCCCGGCAAGTACATCAGTTCTTCAACTGCGTACAAGCGGGCGAGGTCATCTTTCGAGAGGTGGTCCAAGGTTACGTAAAAGACGCAACCTGGCCGCCCTCTCTTGGCCCGTATACACCGCGCGT